TGTACGGCTGGCTCTGGGAGGTCAGAGTCTCTGTACAGGCAGTGAAATATATCAAAGGTCCAGTTTAATAAAGCATCTAATGGTCTGTCTGTATGGGCTTAGACGGGCACACAATCTCACCTGCAACCTTACTCATCCCCTTCTTGTGACTTTTTCTCCTTTAATTTTCCCCAGTTTTTAATCTTCCCGCGTATCTTTTCTGCCCCGCAGTTCCAGGTCACATCGGAGCATGCTCTGTTCTCCTGTTCGGTTGTGGATGTCTTTTCCCAGCTCAACCAGAGCTTTGAGATCATCAGGAAGTTAGAGTGCCCAGATCCGCAGATTGTAGGACACTACATGAAGCGCTTCGCCAAGGTAGGTGCAGTGAAAATGTCATTTGCAGGTTACAAAATAAAAATGCAAGACCGAGGTCTTCAATTTTTTTTCTGTACACGTTACAACATTTTTTATAATATTAGTAATAATAATAAGAACTTGGATTTGTATAGCGCCCTTTAAGAAACCCGAGGACACTTTACACAAGAGCAGAAAAAAAAATATTTCCTTGTAATTTCTCTTTTTCTCTTCTTTGTTGTTTTCTTCTCCAGACCATCAGCAATGTGCTTCTGTCCTATGCTGACATCATCTCCAAGCTGTTTGCCAACTATGTCACCATGGAGAAAGTGGTGAGTGGCCAAAGACATAATGACCCATTGTGGTTTTTCCACAGATGGTCTCATTTTATTCTGTTTGGCAAAAACCGAAAGCCAACTTTTGGAATAAACATATGTCCGCTTCTTTTTAGCCCTGCATCCTGATCAACAACATCCAGCAGCTGAGGGTTCAGCTGGAGAAGATGTTTGAAGCCATGGGTGGAAAAGATGTGAGTGACTCTTCTCCACTCGCAAACAGCCAAAACTTAGACTGTTTAATTATTCAGACATAGTTCCTAATCCTAGTATATCAGCCATGTGTTATTATTATCCTATCGCACAGCCGCCAGTCAACCCAAACAGCTGAGTGAGTTTGTGTGTTTTTATTGTGGCATTTTAGCTGTGTGTTGAAGCTAGTGATATCCTGAAAGACCTGCAAGTCAAACTCAACAATGTCATGGATGATCTCAGCAGGGTCTTTGCTGTCAGGTGGGAACACGCTCACACATATTCATATGCAAATGAACGCTACAGATGCAGTCTCTTAAACGCTTCTCCCTTTCGTCCTCTGTAGTTTCCAGCCTCATATTGAGGAAAATGTTAAGCAGATGGGAGACATCTTGGCTCAGGTTAAGGGAACCTCAAATGTGGGAAATGCCAGCAGCGTGGCCCAGGATGCTGACAATGTCCTGCAGCCAATCATGGAGTTCCTGGACAGCAAGTGAGCCAATCTTTAGCTTAAAATGACTCCCTATTTGGAAGCAAGTTTCTTCTGACTGACTGCCTGATTGACTTGCAGATAGAAGGTTTGAACAGTTGGTGGGTTGGGTAACAATGCTCGTGGCTAGAGCTGGAGATATTCCTGCACAATAACATCATCAAGATGAAAGAGTTGAAAAAAATTGACCTTTAAAACACTCTGGAGACTGAGCTTTCATCTTTCAGGGATTACCAGTGAATACACTGATGTGATTATTTGAATCTTTGGCTTTGTTGGTTGTGGGTATACGATATATGGATAAAAGTATTAGTCCGCATCTTTTAATCTTTGAATTTGGGTGTTTTCAGTCCCATTCCCAAAGGTGTACAGTGTACAATCCATCACCTAGCCGTGCACGCTGTCTTTACAAACATTTATGAATTAACGGTTTCTAAAGAGTTCACTGAATTTAACTGTGGTGCAATAATAGGATGCCACAACCACCCTTGTTTTTGTAGGAATGACTTGGAAACGTCCATGACTTTATTTGCCTGTGAATGAATGAAAAATATTGAAATTTCCCCAAATTTTCTGCTTTTCTGAGCGTTTTTTCCCTCGTGAAGGTATTTCTCTTTTTCATATTACCTCTTTTTCTTTTGATGATCCGATTTTTCTTCCGCTAGACTGTGTTTTTTTCCCCTCTGCTGCTTAATACTTACGTCTCCTTCTTACTTGTGTCTCTCCCTCCTCCTACCAGCCTGACTTTGTTTGCTAAGATCTGTGAAAAGACTGTGCTGAAACGTGTGTTGAAGGAGCTGTGGAAGCTGGTGATGAACACCATGGAGAAGACCATCGTTCTGCCACCGCTCACAGACCAAACGGTAAGAGCGCATAGAAGTATAAATGCACAAAAGAACATACAAACACACAAAATAGACATATTTAGAGATGTTTTCTTGGCTAATTTGTGTAGACGAAAGAGACATGTACACATATCCATCGCTATCATCTCTTTACAAAATGTTTAATGATTATTTGAAGTCCATGCGGATGTTTATAGCAACATAAATTAAGATATTACATGTTCACATGGTGACCCCTGCAGTATATAAGGCCTACACGTGCACAAGTACGCTCTACTTACACCTGTTACTGCCAAGGCAACATCAAAGGACAGAAAGAAAGAAGAAGGAGGTGGAGAACGAGAGAAGGGAAAACATTTTGTGTGTGTTGCAATCCAACATGGCCCATGCATAAGCAAAAAAAGATCAAACAGTTTTTGCATCACGTCTACATCCTACCCTCTGCTCACCCCCCCTACACGCAGTATATGCAGCATTGCCCTGCAGGTGCCTTCGTTCATCCAAACAATCCAGACAAAACCCTTAAAAAGCAAAAGAAAAAAAAGGACTGCACCATATCATTCCTACACCAGCTCATGGCTGCTCTCCAGTATGTCAGTTGTTTGGAGAGATTCCTGATTTATGAGTAACTCACATCAGAGTTGCAGCAAAATGTTAGCCTAAAGGATCCGACCCACTTCTGAAAAGAATGATACATTTTGGAAAGCAGCCGCTCTTCTTTTGTTTGTTTTTGGTATATGTGTTATTTCTGTTTGGTTATTAACTAAAGAGCCTCATATCACTGATAATAAAGTGATAATCTGTGGTTACTGTGACCCTCAGTCACAGGACGCAGAGTTTAATGTGCGCCAAAGCTGCACGATCACACCCACAGCGACACTCTTCATGTGAAGCTGCTGAAAGTTAAACCTCGTATTTGCTTTATGAGCAAAGAGATGATGCTGTAACGAGTTAGCTTAGGTGTTATGGCTGCCCGCTCAGTTCTCTACCTGTGCTTAGTCCAGGCTCTAAACAGGTGTCAGTTGCTCCACGTCCCTCCAGGCCTGGGGCCCAAACTTGTGATTTTGATTGATGTGGGGCTCTTTGCAGCTTGACTGACCCTTCTCTCTGGTTGTTGTTGTTGTGATTACTATTACATCCTGCTCCCACCGCTCTCCCTCCACAGATGATTGTAAGTACAGCACTCCTGTGTGTTTGTCTGTCTGTCAGTCCACGGTGGTCAATTTCTCTGCTATATGTGGCTGCGATCTTCCCCTGTTTTTACCCCACATCACACCGTCTGCCTACCTCACCTCTTTGATCTGTCTCATGTCTCCTCTTTTCTCTTCTCTCCTCCAAGTCTGTCTCTCGTTTGAGAAGACAGGAGCATGGTGCATTCCTAACTAGTTCTAATAGGTCCCACCCCACCCCTCAGCAATCTTCACCGATTAGCCCCCTCTCCCTTTTCTGCTGTCTGTTCTTCATGAACGCTCTCCTCAAACAGGAAATGGTACTCCTCTCCTCTGTTGTGCCTGGGTTTGGCTTGTTTCTTCTCATGCATTGCGCCCTTTTATGGGGACCCCGGTGAGGTGACTGATCTCTCGGTAGCTTGGTATCTACTGTCCCGACCAAACTCCAGCACCCCTTTTCCCGCCCTTTCCAATCCTCTCACCCCACTGTCCCCACCTTTCCTACCTGTTTGAACTGTGTCCTGCCTTCCTACCCCCTACTGTGGGTTTGTTGCTTGCATCTGATCTATTTCAACACTGCAGTCTTCTCTCAGTATCCTGTACGACACTGTAGTGCACTGTATGTCTCTGCGGACCTGTCCTGTTGGTCTCTTCTGGTTTGGTTTCGTGTTCTGTTGTTGCTATAATTACTGTCATTGTGTTTTTATAAATAGTCTTGATGCTATTTCTTGGGTTTAGGTTGTGCAAACGAGGTACACGGTTTGTTTTCTTAATGTCTTAGGACCAAATATTTCACTTTCTGATGCTGACAGCCTAAAGATGTATGAAAACATTTACTTTAATGTCAAGTTATTCATTCTGATCTCTGGTAACTTCCAAGTTCACGTGACTGAGCGCCCTGTATTTTTCATGCAGGGAAAATGTTTGTGCGCTGTGATTGATAGCCAGAAAATGAATTTCTTATTGAGCATTTTAAAGAGAGTATGCATATGTTTCCCCTAGGTAAAATTTTTATTTTAACCAAGATGTCATATTACATTTCTTTAATGGAAACTATTACGTGCTAAGATACATTTAGATTTTTCCTTTTTTCATGCTTCCTGGCACTGTTTTTGCTTTGGATTGCATGCAAACAGGTTACGAGTGGCCTGGCTGAAATATCAGACCACATGCAAACAATATCTCTGCAATGATCATAAGTGAACAGAGTGCAGTCAAAGCATTTACTCTCATAATGTTGGATTGGCAATCGATCAAAAAAAGAAATAAACTGACGAGGGTTTTTCAACATTTGTTAACATTTTTAAAGCAACATCTGAGCTTTTGATTGCACGCTCTTATGCAGCCAGTGAGCGTGAAGTCAGACAGCAGGGACTGGCCACTGCTTGAAGTATTAACCACATGCTCTCTTTCCAGGGGAGGCTGAAGAGTGCTTCTCACAGCGATGTAAGGACTAAACCCCTTTAGATCAATGTGTCTTGTCTCTCTCCTCCACGTCTTCTCTCCATGTCTATGTCTCTCTCCCTCAGCTCCCAGTCAAACAAAGCAGTGGAAATATTGTTTTTTTTCACTATCTACATAGTGCTTTTTATAGTGTGCTGTAAACATACCTCTATTGGATGTAGACATTTGTGACTTAAACACAGAAAGTCAGTGTGTTCAGCAGTCACTTAATTTGACTCAGACCTGGCTGGCTATGTGCAAAAATCAAAGGGAAGCCAAGCTTGCAGGGTAAAAAAGTATATTCATCACAGCAGCCCCTGCAACCAAAGGCACATCTATCTGCACGACTTCTGACAGTTTAGCATAGAGTAGCAGTGGAGGGATGCTGGATTATTCTTCCCTGTTGCTTCCCCACAGTTTCAGAAGTGCACTCTGTTATTTGCTAATAAAGCTCTTCCTGAAACTTTTATGCTATTCTTTTTTATTGCATTATTTGAAAGAATACTAAACTACAGTTGGTTTTGGTAAACTTTCAAAACCGTATTTGTAACCACAGTCAGCAGTACTTAGGATACATCCCCTTACAAGAGTACTGCATTAGGCTGGACCAATAAATACCAGCACACACCACGGTGAAACTTTATAGCTGCTAAATATGTGTGTGTGTGTGTGAGAGGGAGAGTGAGTGTGTCTGTGTGCATTTGAGTGCACAAATATGTCTATTTTCCTGCCCTTACTACGAGCTGAACCACTTTCCCTTCTCCTTGTAGTGTTTGTGTGTAATGTTTTGGAATGACTAAAAGACAGATAAGTGTGATAACAGCACTTGAAGGAAAATGTACCGTGACACCTGTAAAGCGGTTCAGAGTGACTGTTTATGAATGTGTGTGTCAGAAACGTCGCTGTCCTCTGTGTGACACTAAGCCATTTACCGCCGCCGTTGTTTTGTCACGATAATAACAACGCTCCTCTCTCTCTCTCTTTCTCTCTGCTTGTCTACCTTTCTTGTTCCTCCTTCTGCCTTTCTGTCTCTTCCAGGGCACTCAGCTCATCTTTAACGCTGCCAAGGAGCTCGGACAGCTGTCCAAGCTGAAGGTACAATATGTTTCTGCTACACTTACGCTCTGGGCCCGGCACCAGTGCTTCGGACTGAGTCTCTAATTGCTTAGAAAATATGTGGAAGAGCATATGAGGGGGACATATTGGTCATTTTGCTTTATGCCTCTCCCGCTGGCATCTTTAGGAGCACATGGTTCGTGAGGAGGCCAAAGCGCTAACACCCAAGCAGTGTGCTGTGATAGAGTTGGCTCTCGACACCATCAAGGTAGAGATTCACTTTCATTTTCAGTGATTAAACATTGAATATTCTCTTTATTATCAGTGCAAGCGTTTCAGGAAACAAGAATTCATAAATGTACAGTCTTAAAACCCAGAGTTTGGGACTGGGAAATGAGGGTTTTTTGTCCCTTTAGGATGAATTAATAACACATAATTTCACTCCCAAAGCATTTTCCCAAGATAACACAGGCACCCACATGGCACCAAATGTTAAAACGATTATTTAAAGCTCTACGGGGGCTCTAATTTGCACATCATAGAAGCGTTTTGAATTGTTATCTGCAGTTGTCAGTATTGACTGGTTTAGTGTTGGATTCATGTGTGACTGTGGGAATGTCAGGATTCGCTGATGATCACTCTGCTGTGTTTATAATTATTTGTTCCCTTTTATTTTTTCAGTCAGCTGCTGGTCAGAAAATGTTGGTAAAATGTGTTTGTTTGTTTTTTTCCCCCACCCTTTTATGTGACAGCAATATTTCCATGCTGGTGGTGTGGGTCTGAAGAAGACATTCCTGGAGAAGAGTCCTGACCTTCTGTCTCTCCACTACGCCCTGTCCCTTTACACGCAGGCCACAGACAAACTCATAAAGACCTTTGTCCAATCGCAGAACGCTCAAGGTAACGTACAAATCTGTCTGTGTCTGAGGGGCTTTGAATTTGCTTTACCTTCCAGTATCTTCAGTTGTTAAGTATGAGCTTAACTACCTACAGCGTCTTACATAATTCTCTGAGGAAGGGAAATGTATTCCTTCTTCGCTCACACTCTCAGAGGAGCCCCTCTCGCTGCCCCCTCTGTTGATGTTAGGGTTTTCCCAAATGCCGAGTTTCTATACGCTCAAAGTATCTCACGTGCCTCGTAGAGCATAAAATTGAGACTGCAACAGCACAATATTTCTCACTGTTCTGAAATGCTGAGTCTCCTGATAGCGAGCTTCTGGAACTGCAGCCACTATTCTGTAGATGATCTGACAGCTATTTGCAATGAAAAAATAAATACCTACCCACTCTGTTTTCCTTCTCTTTGATGCTGCTGCTCAGCCTCCGTCCTCCTGTCACATAGCTGTGTAACAGCCATCCCGTTTCTGCCATCAGACGCTCACACATAGTCCCCGAGCACTGGTAGAAATGCCATTTGAGTGGATAATCATTTCAAATTGAATTTTTTAACTAATGCCATGTGGCTTTTGATGTTGCAAGACACAGTTTTTTCACTGCAGATCAGAATAATGCTTATTTGGTAGAAGTAGCTCAATTTCCTCAACAAATCAGAGAAAATGCTTTTTACATGTTGGTCTGTTTTCTACTCTGTAATTGTGAAACTCTCTGCAAACCTCATATTTCTTCGTGTGTCTCCTTTCTCTGTCTACTCCCACCTCCTGCCCCGTCTGTGGGACAGTGTTCGGCGGGAAGGGGGTGAGATTCACCACTAGTGAGGATGTTTACCCAGAAAAGGGTATGTGGCACTCAGGCTGAGGCTCTGAGACACCAAGGACCACCAGAGAGCCTCCAGAACAAAGCCCAGCAACCTCCACCTTTTCACCCACCCCCACCCCCACCCCCCCATGTGCATCCTGAAACTCTCCTGCCTGCTCAGATTCATCCCAACAGACAAATGCAATGCACAGACTGAACACACTCTCTGCCTTTTTGAACACACATACATGCCCACCACCACAACAAGAATGGTAACTTTATGCATTCATGCATGAAACGTACACACTGATGTCTGTATGTACAGAACTGCGCTGAATACATACGCCGTGGACAGTATGTATGAGCAGACATGACGCATGATGTTCGGACATCAGACAAATGTAATAGAAATGCATTAAAGCGTGGAGGAATTCTGATGCAGCATGATGTCACCCAGAGAAGCCAGGGGGCTAAGTGTGTGTGTGTGTGTGTGTGTGTGTGTGTGTGTGTGTGTGTGTGCACGTGGGAAAGTACGTGACTGAGCAAAGCAATCTGATGAGTCTGTCCTCAGGTTGTAGAAGCAATTATTTATTTCCAGAAACACTGAGAGGAAATCTTTTTTTTACAGTGTCACTGTCCCTCCCACTGTGTTTGAAATGGCAGATGCTTGATGAGGAAGAGTAGGATTATTATGAAGATGATGATGGCTGTTGGCTTAGTTTGTCTGGGAGGGCTCTCTGTCCTTCCCTACCCTGCGATCGCATCCAAAAGCAGGCAGAGATGGAAACACCCAGTCAGCTTCCACACGCAGCGCCACCCTCCCCAAAGCAGTGATGGGAAAGGGTTCTCAGCTCGTCTCCCCTTAACAGATCTAGCCAATCACAAACAGTCCATCGGGTCAGGTGGTCTGATTTCCGTCTCTTTAGATCAGAATAAAAGAGTCTGACTTGCTCTCAGATGCGGTATGTTCATACACGCTCACACGGAGAGACATATGCATTCTGCTGTTTGTGTGTGCACTTGGCTTCGCCGTTTAATTTGATGCTTCGATGATGATCTGGTGCTGCGCAAGCCCTAGCGCCCTGACAGTCATCTCAGATGAGCGGCTCAATATGACATTGTTAACACTGCAGTCTGTTACACGTCAAGTTGTGTCACTTTCCTCTGGAAAGAGACCAAAGATGGAAATGTGTAAGGAAAGAAAAGCATTCAAAGTAGATTTTTATGCAGATTAATGCCTAACTGTGAAAGGTATCCACTACCAACAAATACTAGCAAATGAATTTTGTTGGAATAGTTGAGATTTTTAAGTGTTGCTCTGAACTGGTGTGTTCTCAAGTTTGATTGTCTGACTGAGCTGAATCTCACTTTCTCATCCTTTACCTGTTCAAAATGGTGACACCAGCTTTTTAGTTCTGATCAAGTATGGCTGGAAATAATTCAAATGCTCCTTTTTGCAAGTTTTATGGAAAATCATCTATTTGAGATTGAATAAACAAGCAGCAAAGAAGCGTATCTTTCGCCTTCCTGCCAGCTGGTGGATGTCCCTGACTGTAACAAGGAAGCAAATTAACTCCCTGTCAAACAGATTTCACTGAGTAGTTTCTCCAACCATATTAGAGTGGATGATTAGAGCAGGATGAATGACCAAAGCTCAGTGGAATTTACTCGCAGCTGAAAGAGTCTTTGATCAGCGCTGACGGTCGGTCTCGCGTGCTGCTGGCTGTGAGCGCCGATATTTGCGGTTAAAATAATCAACTCATTTGTGAATAAGTGGCAAACTCAGGCGATGCTTTGGCACATTTAAAGTACAATTCTGAGATTTCATATCTATTTTGGTGACGTTTTGCAATACGGTGCAAAATGTGCCTCTGATTGCTGTGTTTGTTAATAAAGAAAGGGGCTGCTTTTTCCTGGCAACATCTTCCTGCCTCCCAGCCAGAAAAGTTTCTTTCTCATCTCTCATGGATGTCCTCTACTGAGTAGACAAGGCCAGATGGATGACTGCTGCTCTCTTTGGTCCTGTTGGCAGTGAAATCAGCAATCCCATAATGCTCCCCTGAGAGATGCAGAGAGCCGCGTGCCAGGAACACTCTGCCGTCTAACTCCCACAGACACCTTGTTTAGTGGGCGGCTGGTTAAAAACACAAACACACAGGCTGCTGGTCGTCGCCACAAAGATACCGTTGACAGAGTGAAGACGCTAATTAAAACACTGAAAATTAATGTCCATCTGTCACTGTATCCTTCTGGAGTTGTACGTAGATATAAACCGCTTGTTCACATGCGGCACAAGGAAAGATCATCATCCTCCCTCCCAGACAAAGGTGTTAGAGCCTGGTGAAAGCCATCTAGACTTGTCATCTTCTTCCTCAGGCAAAAAGTAGAACTCCAAGGACCCCAAACAAGCCCAGGTCTGGCGTAGCGTAGAGATGGAACAGTTAAATGGATTTGATGTTTGTGATTGAAATGCAATGAAATGACTGATTTTAACCAGGAAACATCTGAGCGGTCAGTTATGAGGGTGCGTGTCGCTCTCGATCCATAAACTTACATTAAATGATGAAAAAACTAAACAAGGAGGACAAAGAGCAATCTCTTTTCAAGAATGGAAATATAGACATTAAAAGGACAAAAGAGCAGAAAATATGAAAAATCTTTTATTCGCTCTTCTTGCAGAAAGCTTTATTAAAGCAGTCAGGCATCAGTAGTGTCATCCTATAACGACGGGCCGGGGAGGCCGAGCTGCTTCTCCCTCCACGTGGTCCCTCCCTCTCTTGGCCCTCCTCTTGACCATGCTTGGGTAAAAGACTTTACCAAGGAATGGGTGTATCCATCTGAGCATGCCCAGACATGATCTGTGTCGGTGGGGGGGATCCACACCGTTAGCTGACCTTCTCCAGCTTCTCTCCTGTCTTCTTCTCTGCCTCTTACTAACCACCCCGCATCCTAACAGACACCTTGCATCTATGAGTGGGCAACAGTTACCACAGTGATTGCCTCTCAGTCGCTCAGGTTTAATCATAACGTAGAATGCATTACCAAAGGAGATAATACAGCTATTGGAGGCTTATTGTTATTATTATACACTACCGGTATTAAACACGTATGCCCACTCATAGCTGCTTTGTCTGAATGTCCACTTCCAGACCACAACATATGCACAAGCAGAACTCTGTGCTTTATTTTAAACGCTATTATTTTATAAAGAAACATTTGAATAGTCAGTACTCTGCTTTATATTCACCAGGTTATAACTGAGTCCATTTCGTTGTTTCTTTTGTGAAACTGAAATGGAAGTGTAACTTTTTTTAAATTAAATTATGGAGGAGAATTCGAAAGAGAGGGCACAGTGGCTGCGACATTAGCACAGTGGAGATTAATGGCACTTTTACTCTTTGTCCTGTCAGGCTCTGGGGTGGACGATGCTGTAGGAGAAGTGTCCATCCATGTGGAGATTTTCACTCACCCGAACACCGGAGAGCACAAAGTCACAGTGAAAGGTGAGCAAAAATGTTTTGTATCTTTTTTGTTTTCACATTTTTTGGGACTGAATCTGAGGGTATTTCTGGAAATAACATTCAAGTCATAGTTTAACATTTAAACATTACTAGATCCCGCGGGCAGGACTGTATGGCCATAACAGGGTACCAGAATATAGCTCTAGCTTTCATCTGCCATAGAAAAATATGATTTTGTAATGAATACTCTTCCAATTCTATTTTCATTATCTTGACCATAAACTGAATGTGAGGCCTGAGGGAGAGCCAGTATTGTCTGAGTTTCCTGTTCACTCGCCCTCGCTCACCGCTCCACTTTTTCACACATTTTCTCCACACGAATCTCACAGTCACCCACACCTTCCCGCTCTCTTTCCTTCCTTTAGCTCTGTCTTTCTGTCTGTTTCAGTGGTCGCCGCAAATGACCTGAGGTGGCAGACGCAGGGAATATTCCGGCCTTTTGTGGAGGTCTATATCATCGGCCCTCACCTCAGTGACAAAAAGAGGAAGTACGCCACGAAGTCAAAGAACAACAGCTGGGCTCCCAAATACAACGAGACCTTCACTTTGTAAGTGGTTGATGTACATCGATGATTTGAGGGATTGTTTCGAGAGATTTTTGTAATATTCTCCATCGCCCCACTCTGCAGCACCCTGAGTAATGAGGTGGGTCCTGAGTGCTACGAGCTGCAGGTGTGCGTGAAGGACTACTGCTTTGCTCGAGAGGACCGCACCGTGGGCATGGCTGTCCTTCAGCTGAAGGACGTGGCCCCTAAGGGCAGCGCCGCCTGCTGGCTGCCGCTGGGTAAACGCATCCACATGGATGAGACGGGACTGACCGTCCTGCGCATCCTCTCCCAGCGCAACAACGACGACGTGGCCAAGGAGTTCGTCAAGCTCAAGTCCGACCAGCGCTCTGCTGAGGAGGGCCGTAGCTAGGGGGCCAAATCGCAGTTTAAAATGCCACGACAGGAACTCGAATCAGATCAAAGTATCTGCCCAGGAGCTCTCCTGAGCCACTGCAAGCCACTGCCCCGATTATCCAGTGTTGTAAAAGCACACATAAGACAAGAGTCGCCACACATACTGTAAATACATTTATTTCAGTGGAAATGACAGAGTGCGAAGCAAAGCATCACTCGTTTTCTGAAAACGCACCAGTGTCTTTATTGTTGCCGACTTCATCAAACATGGTTTTGATTCAGTTATACATAGAGTTTAATCTTAGAGCATATAACTACTTTCCTCTAATCCCAGAGGAGAGCCATGCCATCCCACACACACACGCACACCTCACTTGACTGGTCAGAGTGAGAAATATCTTGTAGCCTTTAATATTTTGGCTTTCTTTCTCACTCTTTCTCTGCCTTTTTAACCTTACCCTCAACTTTACCGATCCCCAGCTCCTCTCGTCCCTTCCCTAGTTCACTTAGAGAAGGGACCGCAAGTGCCAACAAGGAATTGCTCAAATATGCCAAGACCAGCCCTAAGCACAACCGGACCAACTGTCCACCTGACCCGTAAACAACTACAACGGCTGCAGCCTCAAACATTCCAGATATTGGGTGGGCAACACATACAGGGAACAAAGCACTATTTAGTTATGATGAGTTTAATATTTATTTACTTTTTTCTTCCAGATTATATCTATATTTTAATAATTCTATATATCATCACATATATATATAAAATATTAAGGACATATGTAAAGATAAATACAGGATTGTTCGATGGAACTGTGGTCGGCTAAAGATTGTCCTCGTCCGTCTCTCTGTCCGTCTACCCTGTAACAGAGCACACTGCCTGACACCCTTAATGCCTTCCGTCTTGTTAACCCTTGCACATAATGTATGTCCTGTTTCCTATATGATAGAGAGTGGAGCCTGATGATCAAGCGCTGTAAATCATCGGACTGTATGTGTGTGAAAACGAGTGTGTGAATGTGCGATACAGTGTTTGTAATACGTTCTAATGTCAACCTCGTGTGACCGCCCGTGTTGTCTGTCACCTGCAAATGTAACCACTGAAAGCCATCACAAGTGAAGGACGTCACAACGGGTGGAGCGGGAGTGCGATAAGATTCGGGGGGTTTTTATTGTTTTGTTCAGTTTGTTTAATTTAGCACAGGTTATATTGTGTGGTGGATATTTCCATCTGGTTTACTGCAAACATTCCTCAGCCAGGCAGCCCTGTAAGGACAGTCAACTGCCTTTAAAAAGTACGTGCTAATTAAAGTCCTACATGTATAATTAGATGATTAAAAACACAGTCCCTGAGAAGCTAAAATAACCACGTGGGTTACACAGCAGCACATTCCTCAACACGGGGAGAGCATATACCGCTAATGATCCAGCGCTTATCGCGTCTAATGATCCACCTGCAGATGCCGTAACCCTTAATCGTGAGTGAGAAACAAGACCTCTGCTAAAGGGCTGCAGATCCAGACCGAGCCAGGTCTGGATCTGACATTTAAAAGAGGGCCTACTGTCCACTGTACAGAGATGTAGTGTGAAAATAGAAGAAGCACAGGGGCTTTGCTGCACTCATAAAAACACATTTATACTCCGAGCTTGTTTTACAGCAGTTCACCTGAAGCTACAGTCACTTTCATGTGAAACTAAATGTTTTAAAACGACTGCTCGCTGTCTAGCATGTCTCTCAATGCGACATCTATTTTTAAGAAAATACCCTTTAAAAAGAAGAAGAATATATTTGTTGTTTTCTCGTGAACAACAAAAATCATGGGGGTGATGATAATAACAGGATGATCGGTTGGTTGGATGTTTCTCTGCGTCATTACTAAGATGCCCCCTCCCAAACCTGAATAATATCAAAGTCCCCATTATTAGAACAAGGCCTACAAACTGAACTCTATGCATCTGATCTATAAAGTCTCTGTAGATGAGTGATTTGGAATCAGTCTTATAATGTTTACATTGTGGATTATTATTCTAATTATATCAGCACAAGCGTTTGTCTGATATGTTGTAAATGCCGTCTCTGTTTCGATGGGCCAAACATCACAGCTGCGGTAGAGCTGACCAGAGACGGGAAGTTTGGTCAGCTCAGAGGAAACCGATCGGAAGGGAGATCGATCGCTGCAGTCGGGTAGTTGTAAATAGCTCGGATGTAACAAACACACGTCATACTATGTGAAGTGAAGTTTCGCTGCTCTTTTGTAGACTTGAATTTTGCTGCGAGTGACTGCACAGCTGGTGTTTATGTGCGACTGGGTGCCCAATCTGGAAATGTAGCTACTATTGAAGGGTATAGAAAGACCGCGTGCACTCTAGAGATCAATAACAGAGCGTCTGTATTACTTTAATGGGGCCTGATCAGGAGCCATTCAAAGTAATGCATCGTATATCATTATATATAACATGCTGCCTGCTAGTGAAAACTACTCACAGCTAAAAGTTAAGCAATCCCTTAATATGATCTTGTGTGTGTACAAGGTCTTTTATTAAGGGGGCACATCTACTTTTAATAGCAAAATCAATAACAGGTACGCAGCTGGAAATGCCACGAAAAAAAACAAAAACTTTATTGCTGTTGACAATGATACTTTAGGAGAGGAAATTCTTCCCCTTCCTCCACCTTCAGAGGCCCGGACTGCGTGTTGGATTATCAGGTTGGCACGTTGAACAGGAACGCACACACAGAGGTGGATGAAGCACAACGAAAAGCACACAGACACAAGTGGACACACATGCATGATCCGTCCTGAAGTGTCTCGCTGAGCAGGCCACACAGACAGATACCTGCACAGCGCTGCTGGTCCGGTACTTCCAGATACGGTGCATGATAGGAACAATAAACAAAAAGTAAAAAAACGTGTATTGTGCCAGCACGCATAATTATTTGATGTTTAACTGCCAATTGTTGTCTTCTTTATTTTGATATTTAATTATCGTTTTCTATTTTTCAAATGTTTGTGAATATATAAATATGTATTACTGATGCTGTGTAGTGGTACAAAGTACTCGCATGAGAATTTTTTTATACACGAGATGTTTCTAAAAATTCTTTCTTTTGGGCTTGTTTTTTTATTATTATTATTATGGTTGTCCTTATTGGGGGTTGAGGTTGCTGGGACTGCAGTCTCATTGTGTTTCTGCTTCCAATAAAATATGAAATAAAAGCTCGTGGTCATTCTTTGTCAAACTGTTCAAAGGAATAGCCACATTTCGTTTTATTTAGTTATATTGATTTGATTTTATCCAGGTCTTTAACACGTGCTCTCTTTCATGCCATTTTAGCTATTTTTCCGAGATGTACCTTTCTGAAATAACTCGCAACCTTCTATAAGATACAGACTACACCGATGACAGCCTAATTAAACAAGTTAATGCACATTTTAAAAATCTGAAAGGAGAAATTCTCAGTAAGTCGTTTCAATTTCCGAGGAATAACTTCAGCAAGTTAGGAGTTAAATTCACTGGAGCATTAATAAATTTGCATCCTGCTTCTTATGCTTTGCGCAGAAAGGAGATCTTGAGGGAGACTGGGATGACTAACTGCTCCGCGCTGAGGACGGGGGGAGGCGAGTAGAGGAATATGACAGGAAACACTCTCCTCACATCCATTAGGAGCTGTGAAGGCTGACTGTTAGAGCGGCCTTTGAGAAGCCCCTAGGACAGCAAAGACAGAGAGGAACATGGGATGCAATGTATTTTCCACACGAGGAACATGTTTAACCTTACATCTGCAGACTGTACCTGAACAGAACGTATGAAATTCAGGGTGACTCTTTCATCGAGATCGCTGTGGGGGGTGTAGAGGGTCAGAATCTTCACGATCTGTCAAACAAAATAAGAGACCAGCAGCCAATGAAATCATGCACACACGTTCGTCTCCCAGCAGAATCCAAGTAGACAAACAGACCCACCTGCTGGCTGGACAAGGCACTGCAAGTCCGGACGATCCCCTGAGCATCCGCCTCGGTCTTTTTCCCCACCTGCAGCAGCTGTACTGCCTGGATGAGGGGCTCCAGTGTGGCCACAGCGCCCCCTGCCTGTAAACCCCGGCCCCGCAGCCACTCCTCCAGCACGCTCACATTGTAGCTGTGACAAGAAAAGGATTTGAGATAAATCCGTGTTTATTTCTATAAGACCACACAAAGGAGGTGGAAAGAACAAAATGCAGACTGTTGTGCAGCACGTGATCTAGCTCTGGAATACAACAAAGGCGAAATTAATGTTGACACTCTTTCAGGGAGCTGATTATTGAAGTTGAAGCTGTGTTTGTGGGGATGCTGTATTATACATATGACATTCATCTCTGCAGTAGAGCTAGGCTGCTGTGGACTACAGCTTCTCTTTATTTAACAAGAGCGCTGAAAAATTTGCTTTCAAATTTGCTTTCAAATTTCCTTTATTTGGCCTTTACATGCTAAATGCTAATCTGAAAACAACTTAACCTCATTTTAGATCACACAACTGAGATACAAACAAATTGAGATCATTTAATTTTTAAAATTTATGGACTTCAAAATCAAGATATACTAGTTAATGCAGAATATTTTTATGGTCTGCGTCTTTATTTGCATCTCATGTCAGACTGTAAATGTAAGTGCAGGGTTAAAGTGTGTTTCTACCGTATTTGCAGGCCACGACTCCAGCTGCACATGTCCTTCCTCAGCAGCAGGCTGTTAAAAGCAGAGGCACAGATGAGGTAGGTGAGCTGGTGAAAGGCTTGCTCCATCAGGGTCTTGGGCAGAGCTTGTTGAGTCAGAGCGGTGTGAAGGGCTCCGAGCTCCCTCAGCACAGACGCCATCGTGGGAGCCTCGCCTCCTACAGTCCTGGGCTCTGAGCTGGCCCGCTTCCTGCTCACTGCCAGCTTCACCGCTGAGCCTGATAGACCTTGGATGGTTTCGCTCTCCAACAGGGCAGGGACTGAGGGAGGGGAGGGTTAGAAAATAGATAAGAGGAGCAGAGAAGGGGAGAGCGTCAATCATCACTTTTTGCAGTACCTATGATGTTTTGTAGACGGGTCTCGGTGATGGAAAGGAGCTGCTGATAGGCCTGGATAGAGAGGTCGCTCAGGGTGTGGATCAAGTCATTCATATCAGCAGACAGGGGAACCAGTGTGTCTGAGTCGAGGGTCTGAAAAGCAATCAGTCCAGTCACATGTGAAAGTAATCAGTGAATCCTAAACTTTTATAATCTAGTCAGTGACGTAGAAAGTAAATGAAAGCTGAGCCTGCCTCCTTTGGGGAGTGCTGGGTCAACAAGTCGTGGAACAGACAGATGTTCTTCAACCACAGAGCAGTCATGTCTATGTCAGTGACATGTTTCTGCAGAAAAACGATGAAAGGGAAAATGGTTACATTTTAATTAGAAATCATTGCTAACAATGAAAAATGAAACTATCTCAGTGATTGTTTGAACAGATGTGTTTAAAACAGACTTTGTTATGGTTATGTTGGTATGAGATGCTCATGTGGGCCAAAACAATCACAAAGACAAGTTTCAAAGTCAGCTGTCAGTGTCATTTTGTAAATGGCAGTCTGCCTGACTCGATGTGAACTGTCCTCAAACATTAAACTTCAACCATACGGCGCACCGAGAAGGCTCAGAGATCAGGTCACCTTCAGAGCTGCCTTCATAGCGGTGACAGCAGCGCTACAAAGAGAGCGAGCGCGAGCTTGGTCCCCGCTGCAGTCGGCCTGGCGGACACACAGGAAGAGCACGCTGGCAGGCAGACCGGGAGCCAAAGACAGGGCGCTGTCAACACGGATGTCTGAAGCACAAACAGAAAGGGAAGCAGTGGCAGAGAGAGGACAAGGCCAGGGCAATGCTGTCAGCTTCAAGAGCTGGCTACACTTATTTCTACAGTGACATCATACTTACCGCTGAATTATTACACATTCAAACCCTGCCCTCCAAATTACATTTTGACACATTTTACCGTCATTGTAAAAGTGCTTGATTATTGCCTTTCGAAACATGTTTTCAATCTCATCCCTCGTCTTAAACGCCTGCTTCACAGCTCCTCAAAACCTTCAAGAAAGAAGAGAAAAAGAGGTGGGTGAAGATGATTGAGGCAGACAGGGAGTTGATCTCACCTGTGACGAGATTCTTGATCAGTTTGGTTTCGTCTCTTTTTCTACATTCCAGTAAACCAGTAACTGCTGCTGGCTTCGACTGGGCAGGAGAGGAAGTCTCTGTGGCCAAAGCTGATGGGAAAACTGAAGAGGAAACACGCCATCGCAGTGAAACAGAGAACAGCACATTGAAAACTATAAATGTAGAAGATTGTTAAACTGAGAGGTAGATACACTGTACTCAGGATCAAAAATTCCACTTTTGTTTTGCGTATTTAAACATTTATTGTAAGCCACTTAAAGGGTTAGCTGCTAACAACCTGGTGCCCGAGACCACAGGACACCTTAAGAGCTCTTGTTGAGTCGACACCTGGACAGGTCAGAGTGGGCCAGGCCCAGTGAGGGAGCCTATGTTAGGCTATTGTTGCATTGATGTTTTTTGTTTTAAGACTCAACGCCTGCAGATTTTTTCCAGCCTGGAGTGACTTTCAGCTTCCGGGCTCATTCAGGTAGTCTCACCTTGTGTCAGCAGTCGCCTCAGTGAGACTGTGTTTCTCAGTTCCTTCAGCTCTCTCCTCAGCCTCACACATTCACGCTCTCGGGCTTCCAGCAGCTCCTGAACATCCTTTAAAAAACACATTTAAATTTGTGACTTCAGCCTCAATGTGAATATATAAACATTATAAACGATGATCTGAAACAAAGTGACACGCGAACAGTGACGAATGAAGAAATGATAAACGTTACAGATGGACAGCTTTTAATAAGTAACAACCATCAGATCCAGAGAACTCATACAGTTTTATTCCTGCCGTGACTATTTAGACCGGGGCTGGGGAACTCCAGGCCTGAAGGCCCGGTGTCCTGCAGGTTTTAGATCTCACCCTGGGTCAACACACCTGAATCAAATGATTAGTTCATTACCAGGCCTCTGGAGAACTTCAAGACATGTTAAGGAGGTCATTTAGGCATTTCAATCAGCTTTGTTGGATCAAGGACACATGTAAAACCTGCAGGACACTGGCCCTTAAGGCCTGGAGTTCCCCCACCCCTGTTTTAGGCAATGTTTTCTGTTTTAACTTCTTCTTTTTTTTAACCTCTCCTTTTATTGATTTGTTCCAGCCCTTCTCCTAGTGTTAGGCTTTTTTTTAGCATGTCACCAAAACAAATTTATTCCTTTCTTTTTGTTTTGTTTTTTTATTTGGGTGTGGTTTTTGGAAAATGGAAAATTCCCAAAGATCATTAAAGTACTTTTTTTTTAAACCCTCTCATGTGGGGTTTTAATAAATTTATACCTGTCTCTGTACAGCAGAGGAAGAAACAGACACTGCTTGGGCAAGCTGACTCCTCAGAGTTTCCAGTTCCTTCTCCCACTGACTGCACTGGTTACGTAGCTGGCTCTCCAGAAACCTGACACACACACACACACACACACAGACATGTAGATTTAGGACAGAATAACTAATAATGAGCTCATCCACCAAATATAAATCACGGCACAAAACTGAAAGCTAGTGCTCTGCCAAAATGAAGGAATGAGTTGGTGTTGAGAGACTGACTTGTTTGCCACTCGTACAGCATCATAAGCATGAGCCAGATCTTCTCCCTTCATCTTCACCGATGGGTCTTTGGCCACGTCCATCTTCTCCATCAGCTGCTCCTGTCATTACAAACACGAACACAGTGAGATAGTAAAGGACACTACCTGTGCTGGTGATGCTGCAGTGACGATGTGAATGTTAGGACTTCAGTCGTGTGGTCCTCTTTGTTTCATTACCATTGAGGCTTCAGAGCTCCACATTGAGACTCTCTTCTCTGCAGAGGGGGACGTCACGCTGATCCTGCGGACCTCCTCTGGGGATGGAACAGCAGATGGGAATGGTGATATGGAGAGTGGGGTGAGAGACTGGGGGGACAGCGGCGTCGAGGGAGAGAGAGGTTCCAGACTCTGGGTGGAGTCGGTTCTTCTGTGGCCTTTGGTGCGCTGCGACATGAGGAGGAAGAAATTACAGGAAGCACTCAAGATTAATTTTCAAACGAACAAATTGCATTTAAGGCTGTCTCCCTTTGCAGCTAGCTAATGACCTCTGTGAGCA